TTTTTTCTTTTTCATATTATCTTTAAAAAATTTATTTCTCATTCTAAAATTTTTTTTATTTCTAAATTTCTCTCTACAAATTTTCTTTTTCTCTCTCTAAAATTTTCATATTTTGAATATTTATTATTATCTGTCTCTCTYCAAATTTTTATGTATTTTTTTCCTAACAGACCAGTTTCATTTCTCTCTCTAAAAATTTAATATTTTTCTTAATTTTTTTCTCTTTAAAATTTCATCTTTTATAATTTTTCTTTTTCTTTGTATTTTTTCCTCTGAAAATTATATTTTATTTTCTCGTTCAATTTTATTTCACTGTAACTTTTATTTATCTTTGTATTTATGTATTTTCTCTAAAAATTATATTTTGAATCTCGTTATTATTTCTAAATTTGTTTCCATTATAATTTTTTCTCTTTCTTTATAATTTCTTTTTTTTCTTTAACATATCTTTTCCTCTCGACTTTATTTTTTTTCTCTACAATTTTCCTTTTTTTTGTCTTTAATTTTTCTTTCACAGTTTTTTTTAAATCTTTTTATTTATCTCTCTAAAATTTATCTTTCAAAAGTTTATTTACATATCTCTAAACTTATATTTCATGTCTTTACATTAGGGGGAAGACAAAAATTTCCGCAGGGTCGGGTCCAATAAATAGGAAAAATATATATTTATTACACTTTTTTTATACTTAAATTCTAAAAATACTTAAAAATAATTATAAAACCGATAATTTTTCTTCAGAACATCTCTCGGACCCAAGAACGAGGGGGAGAGGGAGACTAAAAATTTTCATGAGTACGAGAATGGGGGAGAACATCCTCGCTCGCACCCACATTATTGTCATCTCTATTCTACATAAAGGAAGAAAGATATCCGAACATAAGATTCAGTGTTTCACATGAGTGACTCATAAATTGTCTCTCTATTTTGATAAATATCTAAATGTTAGAGTTTTTAGGTAATTAAATGCCTAAAAAATTCTAGTTCAGTTGCTATTTAAAATTTACATTATTTTCGTAATTTGTGCTTTAAATAACATTATTCTCAAAAACCTTCGTTATCCAATCTACAAGGCGAGACACTACTCTAGCATCCAAGCCAACTTTTCTTACCAATTAATTTCTCAATCGATAATCTTTGAAAAAGTTGATGGAATTATAACTGTAGTTGTAAATGCATCAATGACAATTTTAAACTATCATTCAAGCTCATATTTCTAGTAGTGCAATAGTACATTTATGTTGTCTTTTGTTCAATAATTCACATGTTTCTTGATTGTTAAGGCTCTCTCTCCATTTATCGGTTGGTTGGAATTCTTGGTAGCATCAATTTTTGTACTCTCTCATTTTCAGTACATGGCTCTGAATCTCCCGCTTTTATATCATTTTAAGGATGAAAAAACCATCACTCAACCGAAAAGCTTAAACTGATGGATTGAATAAATCTAATTCATCTATTATTATCTCAATTGAAGAGGGTATTCACGCGATTCACATGAATGAGATACAAAAAAGAAAACAAATCTTTTTTTACTATATAAATCGATCGGTCGGTCAGATCGACATCGGATCAATGCAACTCTCAAACCGTTCAACGGACTTCAGTTTGATTGGTTTTTTGGTCCACTCACAACTTCCTAGCTAGTAATTAGCTCAATACACATCTCTCTTCATAAACTTTCCCACTCCTCCTTTGCTTGATATCCATCCAAACGGTGAAACCGAACTGCTAGAACCGTCCATTTTTAGTTCGGCTCGGCTTGGTTTTCTACCTATCTTGTCATTCGGTTCAGTTTAATAATTATCATTTCTGAAAATGCGGTTCGGTTGACGGTTGACGGTTGACGGTTGACGGTTTTTATTTCAATGGCATATTTGTGTCGTTTACAGATAAATATCTGATTTGCATTTGCAATATCATTATTTATTGTGTTATTATTGCTTTATACATTTTTATTAATTTTATTTTTGAGTCAGTATATTGGGTGTTATTATTATTATTATTATTTTTCTTTTAAAGTTTAACTTTGTGTTCGTTCTTTGACTGCAGGCTATTGGGTGTTGTTTTGCAATAAATGGTTCGGTGAAATTATTTATTTCGTTTAAATAAAAATACACACAAGTTTTATCCATTCTTTGAGTAAATGAAGAGAGAGGTTTAAGTAACTTTTCTATGGAACTTACCCCACCCTATTTCAACCTATTTCAACAGTTATAAGATTCCTTCACTGAGAAAAGAGAGAATTTAGGATGTGAATAGAGAGAAAAGGTGATTTTATTTCGAGATCATGCATGCAATATTTTCTTAGAAAAATAAAATAATTGTTATTTTTTTAATGGTGGAAAGTGAGGAGATCATACCTACCCACGGGTATTAAAATTCTTTGAAATTATTCAACATGAAATATAATTAATATATAATTAATGTTATTGCTCTCTTCTTACCAGAAAAAAAATGTTTGTTGTATTGTCCCATATAGTGACAATAACATACATTTGTATATTATGTTTAAGGAGAGCATAATATATATATAATATGGTTGGAATTTGATGGTTGCAGGTAAGAATTCATTCTAGAAGGAATATAAGCTACCAAGGGGCAAAATGGGCCAAACATGAGAACATAATTGGCCCTGCATTCCATTTCTTGAAGTTGAAGGTATCAACATTAATTAATTGTCATATTACTCTTTTTCTTCGAGAGTTGGTGAATTCTAATTATTAAATCCACACACACATGTATAGGACATGGTACCAACATTCTTCAACACACGTAATAACATTGTTAGCCAATGGGAAAGACTAGTTTCAGAAGATGGGTCGTGCGAGTTAGATATCATGCCTTATCTATACAATCTAATGGCTGATATCATCTCTTCGAACAACTTGTGGGAGTAGTTACAAGGAAGGACAAATGATCTTCCGACTTTTAAAAGAATTGACTGCTCTTGTAACTAAATCGACATCTGGATTTTATATTCCAGGATGGAGGCACGTAAAACTAATCATTTCTAGTCTAAAATTTCTCTTTCCCTCATAAGCTATTATTAATTTTTTGTGCAAATTCGTACAAACCAAGTCGAACAATGAAATGAAAAGATTAGATAGAGAAATAAGCAATTAGCTTTTAAGTATCATTAAAAAAAGGCAAAACACATAGAGAAAGGTCAATTAGCAGTACAAAGGGATTTGTTAGGTCTTCTCCTAGAATCGAATTTAAATGAAATTCGAGAACACGACAATAACAAAGATGTTGGAATAAGTTTAGAAGATGTTAAAGAATGCAAGGTCTTCCATCTTGCAAGCCAAGAAACCACAACATCGTTACTAGTTAATTTGGACGATGGTTCTGTTGAGTTCACACACGGAATGCCAAGAGTCGAACTAGAGCAGAAGTCCTTCAAGTATTTGGAAACAAGGAGCCATATTATGATGGTTTAACTCACCTTAAAGTCGTAAGTCAAATTATTCTCAGCTATTTAATTATTATTGTTTATCTTTTAATATCTTACGGTGCTATAGGTAACTATGATTTTGAATGAGATTTTAAGGCTATACCCACCTACTAGTATGCGTCTTTTAGAAAAGGAGACAAAACTTGGAGACTTAACAATGTCAGGAGGAGTGTTGTTGGGCATACCAGTTATCCTAATCCATCATAATCGTGAAATATAGAGGGAGGATGTAGATGAATTCAACCCAAAGAGATTCTCAGAGGGAGTTTCTAATGCAACAAAAGTTCAACCTGCTTTCATTCTATTTGGATGGGGTCCTTGAATATGGATGGGCCAAAATTTTTCCACGACGGAGGCAAAAATACTACGGCTTTCTCCATCATATACTCATGATCCCATTGCTAATATGATTATCAGCCTCAACATGGAGGTTATATCATCTTGTGGTCCCATGTTTGTGATAGATATGACTTCGATCTGACTTTTTCTTCTTACTTATTTATTTTTTTATAGTTTGGGATGCAACTGTGAGGTTGCCATTGCATTTAAACTATTTAACGAGTAATGAGAAAATATTTATCGTTGAATAGGAACATAAAAATGCAACCTCTCTTAGCTTTATTCCAAGACATGGGATCTTTTTTTTTTTTTCCGATAAAAAGGAGCCAAACCACTGAAAAACTACTCCTCCCACGAAAGAATATCCAAGATGAATGGAGTAAATTTAATTCATTTATGATATCTACCATAACCACATCATAGTTTATATATCTCAACAATTCATCAATAAGTAGTCCCATACTATGATTCCAAGAATGAGGGAATTCCATGCTAGCTCTTTCCTTCATCCCCAATTTATTATAATTCTATGTCAAATTTAAAAAATAAAAGCAAAATTTATGAAAAGATAGCATTAAAATAATCCAACTATTTTTTTAAATTGATCATATCGGTTTGATTCATTCGGTTTAACCAAAATCAAACCGAATCGAGCCCGATATTATTGTTATTATTATTATTAAAAAAAAACCCTCTCTAACTATGAGCCTCATTCTTTTTCCCTCTTTGATTCGAACTCCCCATCCTTTATTCTTCTTCTTAGCTCTCCCCTAGCGATATCTCCTCCAAGCGACGAAACCCATCGGCGAACGGTGCGACCTTTTCCTCTTCATCACGAACACGGTGCAACACATCCTTCCCCTTCGTGCGTCTCCTGGTTCGATACAGTTTTTATTTTTTAGGATAAATTTTTTGGTTTGGTTTCAATTCAGCTCTTAAATCGAGTTGAACCAATTGGTGAACACTCTCTAATTTTGAAAACTACTTTTATTTAGTTTTAAAACTTTGATGTTGGAAAATTAGGCGCTGCATAATAATTTCAGCCAATTACAAAACAAAGAAAAATGTAGGGAAAATAATAAACGACGCAACAGATTTATATTGGTTCACCCCAATTATTTATGGTCTAGTCTTCCGCACTCTCAAATATATCTCCCCACAAATGTTCACTCTCTAAAGGTCCCAACAAAAAACTCCTAGCTTCTAAGTATTTAACACAATAATGATACTTAGGTAGATGAATGAAAAATTCACAAGAATCAAGATTTAATTACCTCGAATATGACTATCTTGATCTATCTCAATGCTGCTACCAATACCCTGAGCCTATGTTTCCAATCTGCCACAAACTGCTATGACAAACAACTTGAAATAGTTCAAAAACCTAAAAAACGCGATACTGCATAATTTATAAGTCGATACAGCGCCATGGCATGTGGACGAAAACTTTGTCTGTGCGCCCACATCAAGTTCAGGAGTCTTTTGTATATGGAAAATGTCTTAGCACCCCACAATACTCGTTCATGAACAATAATTTATTTTCTCATATTATTTTCAAGAAAAATGGCTTTCAAAGAAAAAAGAATTTTATTTTTATTTTTAAATGTAATTTGGCCTCTTAAATCGCCATAGAACTTTTTTTTAGAAAAAAAGATCTAGAAAAATATTAAAGAAAAAGATTTGATCGGTTAACTTTTAGAAATATCAAATACTTCTAAAAAATGTCAAACTCTTTTTTAGGAGGGGAGGGAGTGCTTCTACAAAAATATTTTTTATTATTTAAAAAGCCTTTTTTAACCACAAAACTAATTACAAAAATGAAAAAAAATATATTTTTTTAATTTTTAAAGAAAAGGTGTTTATTTGTTTTGAAATTTAATTTTTTTTAAATACAAAAAATTTTGTATTGTTGATTTAATTATTATTTTTAAAGCAAAACATGGTTATAAATGAGAAAATGACGATTAAAAACACACAATTTCATTACGAAAGTTAGAAAAGATATCGAAAATCAAATCTTGACCTCCCGAGATATTGATCTTTTAACCTCAAGAATCCAAAGAATCCAAGAATATTGACCTTCCGAGTATTTAAGGTTTTATTGTTAGAAAGTTGCAAATTTTAAGTTGAAGATATTTAATAAAATTAAGAAAAATAACATTTATTGTATAATATATTACATAATATATACATTTGCCAAATATCATAGGTTAGAAAGATAATCAATAAGATCTCATGTTACAAATAGTTCAAGCAACCATAATATGAAATTAGCAAGGAGTATAAAGGAAGAAACATATCCGAACAATAATGTCGAAAGAATTAAATTTATACTTGGAACATAGGGTAGACAAAAATAATACATGAGGAAGTACATCAATCTACTTTATTCGATAACAATATGGAAACTTACCGTTCTGAAAACAAACTCCAATTTTGCCTTCTTATTTAAACGTATTGCGAATCAAACGATGAAGAAGAAAGTTATGGTGAAAATAGTGATAGAGCAAAATTTGAGAGTAAATGAATAAGGAGACAAAAAAAAATGAAGAAAATAAAATAAAGTAGTAACCAAAGAAAATGGAAGAAGATAAAATAAGTTAGGGTGAGTGAAATACCGTGCGATAGAATACGAAAAATGAGTGAGGAGTGGTGAGAGAGAAGTTTATGACTAGTAGGCCTCTCTTTGTGACTGCTTCTCCCTCCCCAAAACCTAACCACTTGGTTGTGAATTCAAACTGTCATTTTAGGAGAAGATCAAGTCCTTAAAATTTTTTTTTGTTATTAATTAGTGGAATCTTTAAAAGAAAGAAAGAAAAACGAATTATTATTCCAAACATCAGTTAAAAGAAAAAAAATTATTATTCCAATCATTAATTAAAAAATTATTATTAATTAGTGGAATCTTTAAAAATATCTCCGGTTCATTGCTTTCTCAACTTTCCCTTGTTAACTAAGGCATCGGAGCCCCACCGGTTCAGATCGATTTGGTTTTGCAGGTATCATCCCTAAATTATCGAGTTACGTGTGTGTGAGGAGGAGAATCAGAGGACCGAAATCCACGCATCAACAAACTCGAAAAAAAGAAAAGAAAAGATGATACAATCAATAGATAGAGGGATAAAGATTAATTAATTGAGTGGCAGTACAAAAAGTATATGTAACATCAACATAATCTCTTGGAGGTACCATTTATAGTAACATAGTCTGTATAGCCGATCCAAACATGGTTAAGACACTTTTCTTTTGAATTTCGACCTACTTTTTTTTTTCCTCTCCCTATATTCAAGTAAAATTTTGATGGTTGTTTTGGTAAAAAGACATTGAGATTCCAAAATCTGCTGTTATGTGGATTTGTAAGGATGATTCTCTACCATGGAAGAGTAAAAATTATTCACATTGGAATTCTGTTACGAAGAATTTCTTACGTGGAAAATCTATGTAGAACTACGTTATGGGTGTGCGCTTTAAACCTAAAGACACAAGGCAAATAATTATGAATCTTTGGTAGTTAATTCGCAGGCTGACAATTTGAAGATTATCACGTGGATAAATTATTCTATTACGCACTCCATTGAAGCTCAGTTAGCAAAATATGATACTACTAGCTTGTATACCAAATCTAACTTTGTCAAACAATATCAATTAGAGACGGATATTATTAATGACTCATTACATTTATTTGTGGAACATGCGGTTTCTATTAAAGATCCCACGTTGAAAAGAAAAATGATCTTACACAAGTTTATAATAAACATAGACTACTCTTCTCATTATCAATTTATTTTGAAATGAAACCCCGTGAATATTGATAGTTTTAAAGGGGATATATATATATATACACACTTATATATATTCACACATAAATATACATATATTTTGACCAAACCTAATCTCTATTGAAAATCATTGGAAGACTTTCATAAATTCAAAAGCATGCAAAATAATCTAACATAACCAATAACCAACTACAATTTGTGATACTATTTTTGCCTCCATCAAAGTTTTGTCCCATGCATATTCGAGGGCCCCATGCAAATGGGAATGTTTAATTAGTTAATTAATTTATTTGAATATCTTTTAAAATAGGTTTTAAATTTTTTAGTTATATTTAGTTTTAAGTTTTTCCTTTTTTTAAAAGAAAATATTGGAAGAAACCATCCTGAATTGTTCATTGGTTCAAATTTCATGATGCCCAAATTAGTAATTTTTATTTATTTCACATAAAAAATAGATAATTTTTTTTCTGTTATTCAAAAAACTAAAAGTTATCACCATGATGACAACCGATAAGAACCTAAATAATGCCTTATCCTACAGGAATAATAGAGCCACACAAGACCTAGTCTCTGTTCAAAAGCATACAATATAATCTAACATGACCAATAACCGTCACTAGCTGTAAGAAACTGGAAACAAACCTCAACTAAAATATATGAAAAAGAATATCGTAGATATTGTAGCCATTTTCCATTGTTGGGATATGATAAGAGGTTAACCAACCCAATGATTAGATACTATATTTTATTTGTAGTAAAAAAAAAAAAGATACACTATATTATATTATATTATATTATATCTTTCGTCGTACTTGAATACGAATAATTAACAATGATTAATCGACACCATGATCGTGCGATTTTGCCTGTTTGTCGTGCTTCACGTGTTTCTTTCTTTCTTTTCTTTTCTTTTTTTTTTCTTTTTGCTTCTTCTGATTTCTTAGCATAAAAAACTTTCAACCATGAGTTTGGATTAATTTGTCAACATTTTAAAATGGTTTGTAATTTTGTTCTACGAATTTTAAAAATATTACAATGGTTACTGTTCTTCATCCATAGTGTTCATGTCCGATTACTAAATGCAACAGAGACATAGATCTAGAATTTTATGGTAGGGACATAAATCCAAATAAATATAATAAAAAGATAAATAACTTAGAGATTAAGAGGTAGTATGACCGAGGATCGTAGTGTAGGAAACCAACTGGCCACTCTTGTTCTATTGAACAAATTGTATACTATGTTATATTTAATTAAAATTGATTAAGGAGGCACGTACCTTGGTCCCAACGTGGAACCATCCCTGCATGCAACAAAGGAAATTAGCATTAGTGTATTACTATAATGGTAACAATCATATGTTTTTATTTTGACTCTTTAATCGATGATATATAAATTAACTAACGTGTTGAGCTAGACTTAGATTGGTTACGTGATAATTAAATTAATATTTGACCTTTATTAATAGTAATGATAGTAATTACTAATTAACCTATATGTAGGTGGACATAATTGCTTGTTAATTAATGAGAATTATTGATTTGAATGGTTATATTTGCAAGTATTGTTTGAGGTGATATTTTTGTATATTTGTTTAAGTTCTTGCGATACAATAAAAATGTCGATTAACTACTTATGTCAATATCGCACCCCGAACATATGAAAATATTTATAAAAGTATCGACATGGCAATGGAATTTTAATACATAATTCTCCTTTTTTCGAAATTTCAAACATACAATACTAGACATGAACAAATATATGGAAATCAAAATTGGTGAATTGATTGAGGCCTATAAAGAAGACGAAGTAAACATTCAATTCTAGCCTACGTCAGGTCAGAATTGGTGGAAGAGACTCACACCGTTGAAAAAGAAAAAACAATGAACAAAATGTCAACAAAATATGAAAAATGTCACAGATAAGAGAATATTATATTAATCATTTTAAACTTATATAGAAATTTTTATTCGTTGATTTATATATTTTATTCTTTACGATTTTTTTTGTTTTTATATTTTTTCAAAAATATCTATCGATATCGACATTTTATTAATATTTCCATCGACATTTAAAATCTGAATCATCAAATCAAAGATATTTTTCCAACTAATCCTTTGTTTGTTTTGCTATCCAAATATTTTGTGTATTTGCATTATATTAAAAGAAAAAAAAAGTGTCGTACATTTGCAATAAAATATTTTGTCTATTTGCATACGTTTGAAAAAAAGTTATCAATAACAATAAGACACTCACTTATTGAATTCAATAATTGAGTTGAATGAGTGAATGAATGACACTGACGAATCCATTTTTTGTTTTTGAAAAAAGAAACATAATTTGGAGAGTAATTAAAAAAAAAATGCTTAGACATAGAGAGCTCCATATAGAACAATACAATTTAGCCTACTCAAAAATATCTCCCCCATCCCGTTCTTTGGAAGCTTCTTAAATAAATTCTAAAAAATATATATGGTGCATTAGGTTTGTCATTTCCATTTTTCTAACTTATCTTTCTCACCCTCTCCTTTTTAACTCTAAAATTTCTCTAACTTTTGATGGGAAATTGATCAACCTTATTGATTTCCTCTTCTACGGAAAATATCTAACACAACCACAAATATGCAAATAGGAAGAGAAACAGTAAACACAAATAAACGACACAACAAATTATACTGGTTCACCACTAAGGGCTACGTCCAGTCTTCCACTTACATGTGGGTAATTCACTAATATTGTTTAGGATAAGATATAATAACACTCCCCAAAATATCCCTTAGAAGTCTCAACAAAAACCCCTAGCTTCTAAGTATTTTACACAATTGATACTTAGGAACAAGAATGAAAAACTCACGGAATCAAGATACAATTACCCGATAATATCGATCTTGATCAACCCTAAAGCTTCTACCAATGCCCGAGTAGCTGTCAAAACCCGCTAAAAAACGGCTGCAAATAATCTCTTATTTGGTTGGTAAAACCCTAAAACCCGAGGATTCGTATTTATAAACATTGAAACAGTGCCATGGTGCTACGGACGGAAAACTACTCCCACGCACCAACCAGGACAACGTCGAGGCGCTGTCCCCTAGTGTCGCAGTGCTGTCTTCTTGGCCCAAGTGGCCTGCAGCATCTCGCTTCTCTGTTTTTCATCCTCGTTTCGACCTCGAAGTGTCCCGACTCTTCCCTAGCTCGTTCCGACGTCGTTCTGACTCCACCAATCCCAACAACTTTTTTATCTTTAACTATTATTTTTGTCTCCCTAAATTTTTTCTCCCAAATTTATATGATCTCTTGAAAATTTATTTCTCCAAATAACTTCTATTTTCCTCTCTTGTATTTGTCTTCTCTGGCCTATCTCTCCCCCTCGTATTTTTTTTTCTTTCGTTTCTTTAGCTCTTAAAAACAAATAATAATATATAGATATCAAACATATTTGGTTTTCTATTTAAAAACGAAAACAAAAAATTTATCAAATAAGCACTTTAAAATATATAGAAAATAAAAAAAAAAACTATTTCAAAAAATTAAAAATTAAGAAGTTTTTCTAAGCATAAACCACCATTCAATCCAAAAGCTTAGATTGATGGGTTGGATAAATTTAATTCATGAATATGGATTCTAACAGGGTTATGACAACGTGTACAAACAAAAATATCTAAAAAAAAATGTATATTACTAATATATTTGTAGTTATCAATAAAAATATAAAAAATTGTATATTATACTTATATTAATTCCTGGTTATAAATACAATTATAAAAATGTATACTCCTAGTTCTTATTTCTTAATAGAAATATATGAAAATAAAATATATTAAAAATTAAATGTACTCGAAGTTACTATAAATATACTCCTAATACAACATAAACTCCAATAAGTTCTTCCCCATAGCAATATCTCACACACACACACACAAGAAAAAAGAAAGGTGGAAGGAAAGTTCCAACATATCAGAGAATGCATGAAAAACATAATTTTTGTCAAAAAGACACACAGAAACAGGAAAGAAAACAAATAAAAAAAAAACAGGGACCTTTTTGTAATATTATAAAAATATAACGAATTATTTACAAATTGTTTTTAAAAATAGTGCCCATCCCAATACTAGCTCTGTCTCTCAATAATTATTCCGACATTAAATCATCTCCTTTTCTGTACCAGAGGAGACCGTCTCTTAAGCAGATAACATGACTAGACATTTCTTTATAGATTTATTTGCTTAAAAATATTTACTAATTTACTAATTTTGTAGATGCTCTTCTTGGATGATTTTCGAAAAAAGTCATTTTTAATTAAAACCACTTTTCTATTAGTACTTTCAATTTCCTAGGTAATTTTAGATAGCTAAAACTGGATTTTTAAATTTTTTTTTTTAATAATCTTCACTATTTTTTCAGATTTTTTTTAAATATTACTTTGTCTTAAATTATTTTCAAAACATGTTATCCACCGAACTATTTTCAAGAATAATGTTTGAAAAATAATTTAAGAGACTTGCACAAACTGACTTTTTTTTGCCTTTTTGTTTTACAGGTCATCTTTGAAAAGATAATAACTGATATAATTTGTTTTTCAAAATCTGATTATTCTGCGGCACTGCAAAGATTTTCTTATTATTTTTTAAAAACAAACTTCAAATTAAATTTAACTAAAAAAAATCTAATTTTAAAATAAACCRAGAAATCTGTTTTTTTTTCTAAAACAAACTTTAAATTTAATTTAAGTATAAAAAATCTAACAAAATCTAAAAACAATAGATAGCAAAAAAAAAATTAAACTAAATTTAACTATTACAAAATCTAACAAAATCTTAAAAATTGATTTAAAAAAAAACAAACTTTAAATTAAATTTTTTAAACAAATCAATTTAACTAATTATTATTATTAAACATTTAAATTTTAAACTATATGAAGGTAGTATTTTAGATTCTAGTCAAACATGTGTTTGTTCCATGACGTTCTTTACAACCCAATAATACTGAGTCATCGATCTCCAACTCGATAATCACTTACAACTCATTTTTCCTTCACCAACCTCTCATTCATTCGCCGGTTCGATATGCAAAATGACAACTTTAGTGAAAAATCATTCTCTCTTTATGACATCTAGACTTGAGTTCTAGATCCCACGTAACAATTCTCCATCATCAAGTCGTTTCTTTTCCATTAATATTTATGGGGAATATATCATCAATTTCATTAATATTTATGTGGAACATATCATCAATTTATTTTTTAAATTTTGAATGGATTAATTAGTTAATTAATTTATATTAAGAATTTTTAAAATAGGTTTTTAAATTTTTAGTTATATTTAGTTTTAAGTTTTTCTTTCTTTTTAAGAAAATATTGTAAGAAGGTAAGGACATGGAAGATATTTTAAAAAAGACCTATACAAATCTCAAAGGTGGTCAGAGACAACCTGCATTGCATGACTCTCACCTAGCATGATCTTTAGAAAAATATATATTTTTTTAACGTAGCACCGCATCTGAATAGTAGAAGACCAATTATTTTCCAATCATTATTCCTGAAAATAGCTCGGCGGAGAGCCTATGTTTTGAAATAGTTTAAGAAGAAAACAATATTAAAAAAAAGTCCCTGCCTTGTCACAAGCAAAGAGGTATTTTGAAGTTCGGGAAATATATTTAAAATAATAGTGTTGTTTATGTTTGCCTTCTTTATTTTATGTTGTCTTTTCCACCTGCTTTCTAATTTAATTTACTTTAACTCGTCTGATCCACAATCAACAAGTAATTTCCAACTTTATTGTTAATTGATTTTGTTATTCACACAAGATGTGATCATTTCAAGGCACAAGAAGAGAGGAATATTTAGATGTGTTCATCCTGCAAAATAGAAGAGTACTAAAGATCGGTGTGACTCTTGTCACACAGACTTCGATGTTTAAGTTAGAATCGGACTAGTCGAATATGGAGAGTAGGACATTTTATTGTAACAAATAGTAAGGACTTGTAACGTATTTTAGCGTGCCTTTAGGGTTTGGTTCATCCTCTTATGTATAGAAGTCAAATCCTAATCCTTTTATGATTTACATAAGTCGAATCCTAGTGTACTCAGGAGATTCAGACTCCTGGACTATGTGTTTCGTCGTGGGCCTAATATCGAATCGAGGGTCTAGACAAGGTAGGTTTGGGTTGGGTGGCACAAAGGTTGAGAGAGAACTGCCAGGGTTCTCAGCCGGTGGCCGAGAACTCCTCGGTGTCGACCCCAAGTCGGTCGGGTCGACCGTGGTCGACTCAGGCTGCTGGGTTCGGGCTTACCTGGTTTGTGTGTCTGATCTTTCGGATTGATCTCCCCTTCTGCGGCTTGGTTTGTTCTTTTTTTATCTTCCCATAACAACACCCGTCTGTTTTTTTATCACCATTGAATTTATGATAAGAGGAGAAAAAATACAAAATTTTTTTTTCCTATTATTCAAAAGAAAAACTAAAAAGTTATCAAATTTTTATTGATAGTCACCATGATAAGCACCTAAATAATGAATTTTCCTAAGGGAACAATGGAGCCACACAGACCTAATCTTTATTGAAAGCCATTAAGAAAGTTTCACAAATTCAAAAGCATACAATATAATCTAACATTACCAATAACCAACTATAGTTTGCGTAGGATGATATGAGCTCCATGTTGGGGCTGAGTAGTCATAATAGACGTGGGAGCATGAGTGTATGATGAAGAAAGCTCAAATGAGAAGTGTTGTAGAATTATTGAAAATACTATTTTTGCCTCCATCATTGCAAAGTTCTGCCCCATGCATATTCGAGGGCCCCATGCAAATGGGAGGAAACCAGGTTGAGCTTTTGATGCGTTAGAAATTCCTTCACTGAATCTTTCTGGTTTAAATTCATGTGCATCATCGCCCCATATCTCTCGATCACGATGTATTAAAATAACTGGTATACACAATATTACTCCAGATGGTATAGTTAGATTTCCAAGTCTAGTTTCTTTCTGAACAACACGATGTATAGTATTTGCTGGTGGGTATAGCCTCATAACCTCATTCATAATCATAGTTACCTGTCACGATCGTAAAACTCAGGTGCGTAAATGGTATAAAAACAAATAAGTACAAGAAAGCTGATATAATTCGACTTACAACTTTTAAGGAACTTAAACCATCAAAAGTTGGATCTTTGTTGCCAAACACTTGCAGGACCTCTACTCTTGCTCGATCTTGCCATTGCTTGTGTAAACTCAAACAGAGCATCGTCCAAATCAGTAAGGACGCAGTGGTTTCCTGGCCAGCAAGATAGAAAATTCTGCATTCTTTAACAACTTCTTCTATGCTCATTCCATCACGTTTGTTGTTTCCATGTTCTTCGATTTCCCTTAGATTCGATTCTAGGAGAATGCCTAATAAGTCACTTTGTGCACCCAGCTCGCCTTTCTCCATAGCCTTTTGCCTTTTGTTTATGATACCCATAAGTAAAGTGTTTATTTCTCTATCTATTTTTTTCATTTTTCTGTTTGACTTCGTTGGCACAAACCTACACAAAATTATAATGAGAGTTCGTGTAAATATAGAAATTAAGTAAACTTGTAACAGTTTCTAATCACAAATCTTTAGTTTTACCTCCATCCAGGAATATAAATGCGGGAGGCAGCTTCAACTACCAAATCAGTCAATTCTTTTAAAAGTTTGAAGATTATTTGTCCTTCTTTGAAACTACTCCCACATGCCGTTCGAGAAATGGAATCAGCTGTTAGATTGTGTAGGTAAGGCATAACATCTATCTCACACCATCCCTCTTTTGAAATCAATCTTTCCCAATCACTAATCATCTCATTACAAGTGTGAATGAATTTTGGTACCATATCCTGCACGTCAATTCAAGCTAAGGTTAAGTCGATTTTTTGTTTTTAATCCAGTTATAACATAGAGATTAGGAATTATAGTCCCTTTTAAGTAGTTGTTAAACTTTTTTTTTTTTTTTTTTTGGAATTAGATGAGAAAGATACCTTCAACTTTAGCAAATAAAATGCAGGGCTAATGATCTTTTTGTGCTTTGCCCATTTTTGTCCTTCGTAAGTTAAAACTCCATCCAACAGTAACTTCACAATGGGGTTAAAATTTGGCTTTTGGATTTCATCAATTTGGGTAAAAGTTGCTTTAAGGTGTGTTGGGTCCATGATGTGCACTCTTGGATATGGGCCAAGCCACATGTATGAATTTTTACCTACAATTCTCCAAAAATAATGCATATTTCACAACACAGTTCAATAAATAAATATAAAAAAAAAACCCAATTAATAAATCCTAAAACATAATCTTCTTGATATGGTTAAGATTACTTGTTCAGATCGTCTTACAACTCCTACCGTTGAAGTTAAATTATTTAAGGGAGAGAAAATCAAAATTTTACCTAATTCTTAAAAATTTAGAGGAAAATTAAAACATCTTTCTCTTAGAGATGACGACCTAATTCATGCTAATTTCTTTCCCTTAACCAAGTATAAATCATATAACTTTAATATTTCCCAACATGCTGATCAGACCTTACCTGATTCTGTTTTTAAATAATAAATATATATTTTACTCACTGTTTCACCAAATTATGAATCAAATATTAAATATTTTTTAATAATTATTTATAGTAGTAAATAATAAATTTTCAATAAATATATATAATTTTTGAATATTTATTACTCTTTTTTAGTTTTTTAAATTCTAAAAATAATTAAAAATAAATACTAGGTCCATAACCTTCCTCATCCTAGACCTCGATATCTAGAATTAGAGAATGGGATGGCACCCCAAACTCTCGCTCAAATCATCTCTACTCTATATAGATTTTTTTTTTCTAGCACATATCTTTTAATTTTCTAAAAAAATGTGATATTAAAATATATTTGGTTTTCTATTTTTTAAAAACAAATAACAAAAAAAAGCAAATATTTTTGAGAAATGTAATACAGAAAAAGAATAAAAAAGACCAAAAACTAAAGGTAGAAATAGTTATCAAATAGGTCATACGGAATCAAATTAAACTCATCATCCAACCTAAAAAACAAGAATGTTACCAAAAGAAGGATAACGATCGAAAAACTATACTACCGTAGTTTTGAATGGTTTTGTATTCGGAGGGGACTACACGTGGAGCGATATCATGGGAGAATGTTGGCATGGGGTTCGACCTCGCCTGCCCGGATGCGGCCGCCAACTCCTTCAAGTCTCCGACGAAAATCCGGTAAGAATTTCCGGCGAAGCCTTGGCGTGTGAGGAAGTTTTGAAGCCTCTTAGGCCGGAGCCAGAGCCAGTCGAAAACTCTCCATCCCACCAAACTCATCAAAACCATACAAATGGAAACCACAACCTCAACTGAAGTTTCCATTAAAATTTAGAGACACAAAATGAAAAATAAAAGAGACAGAATTCACTTCAGTCTATGTTCAGTTTTTGCTGTCGATTTATTCAACTTAATTAAGCTATGCCCATTTTATAACCACCGCACCCAACACATCAGCGCCTATTTCTTTCCTTTATATTTAGTATTCTTTTTTTAGCCGTTTGTAATTTATGAGTGGGGTATCTTAAAGGAAAAAGAAAAAGACATCACTTTCCTAATTTAGTATTAATTATTTTATTCTGTTTTTGCTTTATTGGACGGTGAGGGTATCTTTTATTTTAAAAAAGAAGAAATAACTCAACCGTAATTAGCACATCCTCACACTCCAAATTATGATACTAAAAAAATTATATATTATTGTAATGACATATTAAAAATACTAAATATACTGCAATAAATCTTGTATAATTAAGACTGCATTGTAAAATATTTAATCTTTATTGGTAAACTTGTTAAAATAGGATGATTATATACAACTAGATATTGATTGGGAGTGAGTTAAAATTTGAAGCAAATAAATACTTTCAATATTTGAAACGAAGTGAATGGATTTCTTTTTTTATATATATACAACGTAAAAAATTAGTTTTATATAGCAAAATAGTCATTCAAAACACAGCTATTGTTATGTTTTGCATCATAAAATTGAATGCCCCCACTGACCACAGTTATCTCGTCGGCACTGGCCGTAGGACCCAGTCACATTTATATTTGTTGATTTTTTGCTATAGAAAAAAAAAATCTCAATTCATCCCTGCGTGAATGGCGTCTTGACTAATAAAATATTTATGAAAATATCGACATTTATTCTTCTCAAGTCTTTTCACACCATGAACAATGATGAAGGAGAATAAAAATCCAACATTCAATACTAGATATAAATCAATATTGAACCAACATGAACTTAGTTTAGAAGTAATTGGTACGTACTTTTAAAATGAAATAATAAAAAATAATAAAAAAACTTAGAAAACCAAAATTGTTTTGAGATCCACGCACGTGAGAAGGGAGAAAAGTAACATTCAAGAGTTCTGTGATGGGTCAGAACTGGTGAATGAGACCCACACACATTATATATAAAAAAAAAAAAAGCAAAAACAAAAACAATGGGGCCTTAACTTTTTATTTTAAAATTTGCTTCAAATCAAAGATCTTTTTTCCCACCAAATCCAATATTTGTTTTTTTAATCCAAATCTTTTGTCTATTTGCATATAGTAAAAAAAAAAAGATCGATAGTTGAATAGAATGAGTGAATGAAACCAACTAATCATTTTTTAATTAATTAATTATTTATTTATTTTTAAAAAAGAAACATAATTTGTAGAGCAATAAAAAACGTGCTTAGACATAGAGCTCAGCCTCTTCAAAAATTTCTCCTCCATCTAGTTGGAAAGCGTGTTAAATGAACTCTAAAAATGGTGGGTTTGGTTTGGTTTGGTTCGGTGGTCTCAAATTTTTTAGTTTATATTTTCAGCGCTCTCTTTTCTCTTCAATAATTCTTTATTAAAAAATTTGATATTTGAAAGTTGGCTAAATAAAACTCGAAAATATGAGGTGCATTTAGGTTTGTGGTTTGTGATTTCAAATTTTCTAACTTATATATCTTTCTCACACTCTCCCCTATCTTTAAAAATTTTCTCTAACTTTTTCCTCTCTCTTGTAATTGAGAATGAGATGATAAGCATTTATGAACCAAAATGGATAGTTCTTGTCCTAAGTAAGAAGATTCGGAACTATACCACGGGGAGAATGGTTTATAAGAAACTCTTTTAGTAGGCTTGTAAAAGATGTTTAGAGTGAGCTTAAGATATTTCTTCACACGCGTGCTACCGTCGTCGGATCAAGTTCAAATTACTCATGATAATTGTGTGCAAAATAAGAATAATTTTTACTTTTATTTGAACCAGAAAAAATGAGAAAATAACTGTAAATAAAATTAATTTCTTTGCAAAAGTTTTCATTGTTCAAATTTTTATTAGAGAACCAAAAGTGTTTTTCTCATCTGCACCCCATTTCAATTCTTCTTTTTCATGAGTGCACGTTTAGAAAAGAGTGTTGTGTTAACTTTGAGAAATAATTAACGTGTGATGATTTAACAATAAGATCATGTCGAAATTACTTTCATGGTATTGATTTCTTCCATGGCAGAACGAAACTAGTTTTTTCTCTCGTTCCCATATTCATTTTCTGTCTATACTAACTAATCATTTTATCTCCCTAAAATTTATCTCTCTCATACTTATCTAATCTCTCAAAAATTTCTTTCTATCATATTTTCCTCTTTGATATTGTAGACACCGTATTTGATCCGACTTTATTTTAGTTTTAGTTTTGATTATTTAATTTTTATTTTATTAAATACTATAGGATTACTTTATTATTGGTTATAAGCTAAAGTTTAAATTAAATTAAAAAAATAGATTTTGTTTTAAAGAATTTGATTTAATATTAAAATAAAAGAAATAAAAAGATTTCATTTGATTTATATAATTTTGTTTTAAATAAAGAAATTTAGATTCTGTTTTGGTTAAAAATAAACCTTTTGTTTTTCCTCCCGTTTTTCGTTCGTCAAAACCGAATGCTTTCCCTTCCCTCTTTTTCTTTGGTTTTTCTTAGACTCACGCATGTTATTTTTTTGGTATATTTAAAGGGCACACAACACAGAGGAGGGGAGAAAAAAGAGAGAGCACACAGAAGAATGATTTGGGTAAAGAAAATTTTTTATTTTTTTATTTTTTTATTTTTTCCCTTAGTCTCTGAAGGCGGTTCAATAGAACTCTGGTGCACAGCTCACGACGAATGACATCCGTGGTAAAAATCTTTGCACAGTATACCCCTACATTTCTTTTAATAATAAAAAAAAAGTTTATTTTTAACAAAAAAAAATAAAAATTTCCTTTTAAAGAAAATAAACTTTTTAAAATAAGTTTTGACAATAATGTAGATAATTTTTTTTTAAAAGTAAAATAAAATAATTTTTAAATAAAGTAACAAAAAGTTAATTTCATTTAAATAAAAGATTTTGCATTAAAGTTTTGTAAGTTAAAAATAATAATAATAAGGGTTTTATAAACTAAATCTTTTAAAAATAAACTTGATTCTTTAAAATTTCCATTCAGAAGTTCTTAATTTTGTTTTCTTAATTTTTTTATTTATTTTTAGAAAGAGAATTTCTGCTGCAGGGATTTAAAAAATAGAGGATTTACAGAAAATTGTTTTCTAGGATTTGTTTTAATCTTGTAACATTTGTAATTTACAATAAGTTGTTAGGAGAATGAAATCTTTTTTTTAAACGATGATTATTATTTTAGAAAAGATCTTAACAATTTGTTTTAAGTAAAATTGATTTTTTTAATTAGAAATAAAATACTTTCTTGAAAAAATCTTTTTAATGTCAAAATACGTAAAAAATTATTGTTTTTTCTTTAAATTTAACAAAATTCGTAGGTTCTTTTTTTAGTTTAAAAATAAATTAAAACTTTTGTTTTTGTAAAAAAGTATAATATTTATTTCTTAGGGTGTTGACATAGTGGTAAAATGTTTGGTTTTTAATATACATACCCAAGTTCGAGTCTTTGCATGCCTCTTTTTATCATTGTTTTTACTAAATAATTATTTTAAATAAAAGATTTCGTTTAGAGTTTTTTTTCTTTTTTTTTAAACAAAATTTAAAAATACAAAGTTTGTATTTTCAAAAAGAACATAGATTACATCTTAAGGTGGTGGCACATTGGTGAGATGTTGGAATGTTAATGCTTAAGTCACTTGCTCAAGTCTTAATGTGCCTTAAAATAAATTTTTTTGTGGGAATTGCAACCCAACAATTTACTCGAGGTGCGACAGACATATTTCTCATCCTTGTAATTTTTTTAATCAATTTAAAAAGATCCTCGAATTCCAATTCGTCAGAACCTTTAGGGGCTGTTCCTCAAATTGCGAATTTTTGTTCATTTTCTCAGTTAATAACTCATAATCAAATCTCGGTAACTAAATATTTTCAACTTGACAATTTCAAAACAATATTATTGTTGATATTTTTCGTATTTTGTCCTTTTTTTTTTTAAACAAATCTTGGAAATCAAAATTGGTGAATGAGATCCACACACANTTTTGTCTATTTGCAAATAGTAAAAAAAAAAAGGGTCATTTGCAATAGGACACTCACTGATTGAATTCAATAATTGAATTGAATGAGTGAATGAAACCAACTCATCTTTACTATTATTATTATTTATTTTTTGATAAAAGAAACATAATTTGAAGAGCAATTAAAAAATGGCTTAGACATGGAGTTCAATATAGAACAAGAAAATTTAGCATCCTCAAAACTTTCTCCTCCATCTAGCTTCTTATCATTGAAAGTAGGTTAAATAAACTCTAAAAAAATATGCTGCTTTTGTTTGGTGAACTCAAATTTCTTTTAGTTTATATTTTTCTGTATCCTCTCTTCTCTTCAACAATTCATTACTAAATAAGAAATTCGAACAAATGCTTGAAAATATAGTTGCACCCTCTCTTCTCTTCAACGATTCATTACTAAAAGATTCATGATATTTGAAAGTCGGCTAAATGAAACTTTAAAATTATATGGAGCATTTAGGTTTGTGATATCAAAATTTTCTAACTTATCTTTCTCAACGGCTCTTCTATCTTTAACATTTTTCTCTAACATTTTTCTCTTTATCCTAATTTTTGAGAATGAAATGATAAACATTTATGAACCAAAATGCATAATTCTTGTCCTCCATAAGAATTAGGAGAATGGTTTATAAGGCGAACTCTTTTAGTGGGATTGTAAAAAGATGTTTAGAATAAACCCAAGACATTTCCCCACATATGCTACGGCCGTCTATTCGAGTTTGGATTACTCGTGCTTGCACGAAACATAAGAAATAAATTTTATTTTTTATTTCTTCTATTCGAACCAGAAAAAATGGACGTTTAATTAATTAAATTAATTTTCTTTTATTATATAATTACTTTCCTTGAAAAAAGTTTTCCTTATTCAAATTTTGATTACAAATAGAAAATAAGACAAACCAATAAATACAAGGATTAAAAACGCACATTTTAAAATTTCATGATTAAAAATAGGACAAATCTAAAATTCGAGATAAAATTTTTTTAAAATTATATAATATGTAGCACATTTAAATATTGAGTTTTCGAATTGTACGTTGGCCTTCAAACATTCCCCGTCAATCTAGTTTCAAAGAACCGGTTTCTCGAGTTCATTTAAAATAAATAAATACATAATCAGTATCGATGTCGACAGAAATATGTCTAGCTCTCAATTTTATAGAAATACAATAAAATGTCGATATCGATAAATAGTTCTAGAAGAGTTGTTAAAAAAACGTAAAAAAAAATATTTAAATTAACAAATAAGCATTTCTGTAGTTCTAAATAAGTTTAAAATGATTAATATTAACATTGTTTCTATTAGGGATATTTTGTTGACATTTTTCATATTTTGTCAATTTTCTGTATACTATAAAAATATTGATTTACCTCTCATGTTAATATCGAACCTATAAACACATAGGAATGTCGATAGAAATATTGACACGTTGACAGAAATATACTACTCTATCACAACTTTGTTTGCGGGTGGACGACACAGCACAAGACACGTTCTTTGAGAATTGTGGCATTGGGAGCATAACAAATGGTCAAATTGCAGAGTCGACGTTGTCGAGGGAAGCGTAGGATTGTTGTTTATTATGTTCTAGGTAGGTGGTGGCTCTTGGGTTTGTAAAGTGTGAAAACAAAATTTCATATTAATTAGGAAATGAAGTGATCCATGGTGTATAAAATAGGACAATTATTTCCATTGGTATGAAGTCTTTCAAATTATGCCCAAATCGAACAATATCATACCGACCTAACTGTGACAATGAAATTAGGTACAATCTATTTACCAGCACGTACAAACCTAACTATTTCATTTCTCTAAATCCATAATTTTGTCAGACTCCTTTTAATTACTAGTGCAATATAAAAGATATATTAGCATAATTAATTAATGAAATATATTTTATACAATTAATTAATCTAACTATTTTGGTTAGTTTTTGTTAAAGTTAATAGTTTTTAAATAATAATTATCTAAAATGTGTTAACTTTTTAATGAAATATATTGATGAATAGTAATTTGGTGATAATCGGTAATTAAATCTAGTAGGATAACAATGAACTAATAATTAAATAAATCCATGGTAAATTATATGTTGGATAAATTAATTTGTATAAAATAATTAAAAATTTATTTTAAAAATAATTATCAGAAATAAATGGGGCGAATAAATGCATGTATTAACATTTTTTTTATTTATACTGAAAACGTTTCACTCCCAAGGAAAACAAAAATTTTAATATAATTTTAATTATTTTATCAAATAATTAATATATAAACTATCTATTATTCATTATAATTCTAAATACACCAACCAAATATTTTTGAATAAACCCCAAATTTAACGAAGTAATATCCAAACACAGGTTTAACAAACATATAAACTTAGCAAACCTATTTTATGCACAATATAATACACAAACTCGACTTAACAAATCCAAGCAAGCTCGTGAACAAAATAATCCCGGAGCATTATGTTCATTTGTGTATATATCTTTTACTAAAAATAACTGAAATTATATACAACAAAGTACTTAATTTCACAACTTTTGATTTGTTTAAGTAACTTAGTTGAGTTTGTGGAGGATGATATGAGCTCCATGTTGAGGTTGGGTTGTTATAGTTACGAAGGGAGCATGAGTATATGATGGAGAAAGCTGGAATGAGAACTGCTGTAGAATTGTTGACAGTGCCATTTTTGCCTCAATCATGGCGAAGTTTTGTCCGAGGCATGTTCGAGGACCCAAACCAAATGGGATAAAAATGGTTTGATTTTTTGTTGCTTTAGAAACTCCATCAAAAAATCTTTGTGGATTGAATTCAAGTGCATCTTCACCCCATAGCTCACGATCATGATGGATGAAAATGATTGGTAACCTCAATATCACTCCCGCTGGTAAAGACAAATTTCCAAGCTTCATTTCCTTTTCAACGACACGATCAAGCACACTTACCGGTGGGTATAACCTAAGAACTTCGTTTAAAATCATAGTTACCTGTGCAATTCCAAGAATTGTAATCCTTAAGTTTATTTGCACGAGAAGATAGAGCACAAGGGTAAATACAGAAAAATGAAATCACACACTTACAATTTTTAGACGACTTAAACCGTTATAATCTGGCTTTCTGTTATCAAAGACTTCTCGAACCTCTGCTCTTGCTCTTTCTTGCCATTCTGAGTATGAACTCAATAAAATCATAGTCCAAATTAGTAATGTAGCTGTAGTTTCTTGGCCAGCAAGATAGAAAAGCTTGCATTCTTCGATAACATCTTCTATACTCATTCCAACATTTTTGTTATTTCCATGTTGTCGAATTTCGTTGAGATTAGATTCCATCAGTATGCCTAATAGATCACTGTATGCAGCTTCACCTGCCTCCATAGCCTTCTGTCTTTCATTTATAATACCCAATATCAAACTTTTAATCTCTTTACCCATCTTTTTCATTTTATTTTTTGACTTGGTGGGTAAAAACCTGCACACAATTAATGCTCACATCAAATAATTTTGAGGGGAAACTTTTTTCGTAATGGATTATGTTTTGAACCAAAATGAAGAACATGGAGTAAATAGAACAAATATATATATACCAACAAGATATTTTGATGTGACTAAGCTCTATGATTCATGAAATATAAAAATATTAGCTCTCTATTAATACAGTTTTTTTTTAATCTTTTTGAATTCAACCGTTGTGAGGTGAGAAATTGAACCATCGACCTCAGATATGGTAATTGAGGTACTTGAGAATCATGTAATTTGTATAAGTAATAAAATAGTAATAATAAATCTTTACAAAGTGAAAGTTAAATTTACCATTGGTGGATGTGGTGCTTGTATAGACCTAAAACCTTCAAATTATAAACAAAAAAAGGAAAAGAAGGAAAAAAAAAACACTTTACGACAAGCTAAACTTTTAGTTAGAAATGTTTGTTTTTACCTCCATATTGGATTGGTCATCATTGACAAATATTTAATCACCGAAAAATTTAGTTGTTTTTGAAGTTCGAAGATCTTTTTTCCTTTTTCATAGCTACTCCCAAATGTTGTTCGAGAAATGGCATCGACAGTCATAGTTTGTAGATAAGGTATTACATCCAACTCGCACTGTCCCTCTTTAGAGACCATTCTCTCCCATTTATTAACCATCTCGTCACAACATTGATAGAATGCTGGTACCATATCCTATAAGCCAATAATTGAAGGATACAAATAAGTAAAACATAAAATCAAAATCAAAAGAGGGAGGTATACCTTCAACTTTTCCAAATGAAATGCAGGGTTGATTATTTTTCTGTGTTTCTCCCATTTTGGTCCTTCATGGTTTACAAGTCCATCAGCAATCAACTTAATAAGATGGTCCATCTTTGGCTTTCGGAAATCATCCACTTGCATAAATGCTGTTTTAACTTGTTCTGGCTCCATCGTCAGCACACTTGGAATGGGGCCGTTCCACGTAAATGAATTTTTTTCCTGCAATTCCCTACCATTAATTTGCATATTTTACAATAAAGTTTTGTTGTTCTGAGTCTAATAATAAATCGATTGTTGGTTTGAACGTTTTGGATTCTAATACCATATTAATATTTATGGATTCCATCCAAAAACCAACTTATAAATTATTGTAAGTTCATTTTTCTTTCAAGGTGAGATCTTTAACGGCGTTGATGTTCGTGTTTGAGATCCAACCATCAACTTTGTGATGAGATAGGTAAATATAATGAGCCAGTGCATACACGGATTAGTACTATTCCTCAGTTTAGTTAACCAAAAAAAAAAAAAACACATTTATATATAATCACCACCAGATGTTCTTGATCTAAGAAAAAAAGACTAATTTTTCTTCACAAACTTTGCTTCAATTTTGGGGCATGATATATGATATGATATGTATGCGTTTGTTTGTTTACCGTAAATTTGGATGGTTCGATGAAGGAAAGGGACGATGCGTGGAGCAATATCATTGGAGAAGTTCATGGGCTTGGACATGGCCTGTTTCTGCATCGCCGACATGTCCTTCCAGTCTCCGACGAGAATCCGGTAAGAATTTCCGGCGAGGCCTTGATCTCTCAAGTACTTCTCTAATTTCTTTGGCCTCACCCAGATCCAGTCCACAACTCTCCATCCCCATACCAGTAACCATACCCCAACTATTATCCAAATTGAAATCGTAGCTGCAACCCACGTTTCCATCTATAGACAAGAGAGAAAGAGAGAGAGAGAGGAAGCGATTTCAATCTCTACCAGAGGAAATTGCAACTAATATATGTCCTTGCCGACTCCCAGTGTTCCGTACGTTCAATTTGGTTCGGTTTTACAGTTGAACCGACATGGAACCGCATTTTCAAAAATGACAATTAAGCGTGAGTTGAGGTAGATCGAGCAGGCGTCAAACCACCGTAGAATCTAACCGACTCTAGAAATTCAAAACAAGGTTTTAAACATCAATATTGATGGAAAGATCATGAAAATGGCAATAAAATATTGATTTCGATATATATTTTTGGAAAATTTATAAAAGTATAAAATTATTTAAATAAGTTAAAAATAATTAATAGTATGATTACGATTATATTAGTAAGATTTTTTTTTATATTTTGTTGATTTTTTTTTGTAATATTATGAAAATCTAGATATACTTCCTTGTATCTACGTCGAATCTATAGAAACATGAAAATGTCGACGTATATTTAATAGCTCGGAGCAACAAATTCGACAATATATGAAAAAATATCAACAAAATGTCACTAAATATATATAATATGAATATTAATTATTTTTTAAAAATTTGTGAATTTAAATATTTTGTACAATTTTTTTAATTTTATAACTTTTACAGAAATACCCATCGACATCGACATTTCCATCGATTATCGATGGAACCAATATGACCCGAGCGATCGAGTTAAATAATGAACCCGTCGATGTCGGTTTTTTCCTTTGAAAAACTAATTAGTCGATAATTTGGCTTATGCCAAAGCAAATCGAAGGATCAATTATTATCCACCTTTTTATTTTCATGATTCATATGCGTCCACGGCACTTTTATTTTTCTTTTTACGTGAGCCACTCTTTTTTAGTACTTATCTGTTAAACTTATCTCTCACCCCCTCTTCTCAGTATTATTATTTTGGTGAGAGATTCTTACACTCCACCATCTACCAAAAATTGACCCATTGAAGTTTCCAACTGACCTAAACCAAATTGTTGATTTTTGGTGTCAATTTTGTGCTAAAATTAAAAACTGTACACCCAAAACAAATAAAAGGTTAAGTAGACATAGTCTATTTTTATCGTATCATTTGTAAAAGTGTTTACGATCTCAAATATTTATACATTTGTCGAGCCATCGTTATACAAATAATACCATTTGTAAGCACCTAAATTGTTGGAATATGAAGTCAAAACTAATTGGACCAAGAAAAACCTAAAAGCCCAAAAACTTCTTTTCTTTTAGGTCTGCCTTCATTCACACACACACACCAAATTTGAGCAGGCGGCAGAAAATTGGATGGGTTGATTTGGGTGGCAGTTATTTTGTGTTGTTGCACAGAATCAGAGGCAATGTTGGCAGCAGTTTAGAGGTGAGTTCCGGGATTGTAGTGCATCCTTGGGAACTAATTCTTCCTAAGATTTTATTCTTGTAGTTACTAAAAGTTGGGTACCAATTCTTCCTAAGATTCTATTGTTGTAGTTACTAAAAGTTGGGTGCTTTTTTTGAGGCCTCTAGATTTTAGAGATTAATGTATTGTCCATTGCCATCGTCATTGCCATCGCCATCGCCATCGCCATCATTGTCTTTTTAATTTCCGATGCATGAGAGCAAAAATAATTGAAAGTAAATTCCCACCACGGATTCCGATAAATATTAGTTCTTCGGAGTACAATGGTTTAGTAGAATATATTAAAGACTAGAGGAATAATTTAATGTTTGGAAAAACAAATTTGAAACATTAAATATTTTACATCTAACTAAAAATAATTGTATAATAAATATAAATGTCATAAATAAAGGTAAATTTGGTATTATGAAAAAATTTAAAATCCATAAATCTAGGATTATAAAACAGGTAAACATTGAACATTTGTGAAAATAAGTTTCCAAAATGACTCGTCCGAGGCATTATCTGTTATATTTTTGTCCACAATATATGAAATAAATGCAAAGGACTTGGCTTCATTTGCAAATGTTGAATTGAGGAGTGGTGGGTCTCCATCTTTGCTAGGTCTTTCTCTGCCTTCTTTACGACTCTCCCAACAATTTTCTACCCTCGAATAAATGCAAAGAACAAATATTGTTAGGGATAATGGATCCTGCATAAATATTATCCGTTTTGAACATAACTCTCACGACTTTACTTTTGTTTGATCCAAAAGATCTCAGAACAATAGAGATGTATATATCCATGATCTTTCTCTTATTTGGTCAATGTAGAACTTCGGTCACATCCCCAACAAATTTCTTAAAATCTAATTACTCACATATATCGTTCAATTATTGACTTTATAAATGTTGCAACAAGATGATTAACAAATGGGAGAGAATGGTCTCTAAAAAAGGACTATGCTACTTGGATGTGATGTCTTATCTATCAAATAATAGGGTTGCTGAGATCATTTCTCAAACAACATTTGGTGATTTACCTTAGGGATTTACATTTCAGGATTGAGGTAAAAACAAAATTCATAATAGAAATTTGAGGACTCGGTTGATAATCCTCTCGTTTTTCGTTTTTGGTTCTTGGTTTTTTAAAAACAAGATTGTTTAATTCAAATTTACATTTTTTTTTCAGAAACCATTTTAAATTATATATAAATTCAAAAACATATTTCTATTTTTCAAAATCTAATACTCTAATTTTTTTTCTTTCTCAGGTTTATCTCTAAAAAATTTCTTTCCCATTCTAAAATTTTTTTCTTTCTAAATTTATCTCTACAAAATTTAATTTTCTTTCTCTAAATATTTTTTATTTTTCATATTTATTATTATTGGTCTCTCTCTATACAAAATTTTCATCTCTATGTATATTTTTTGTGACATATTAGTTTTATTTCTCTTCCTAGAAATTTAATATTTTTCTGAACTTTTTTCTTTCTAAAATTTTGTATTATATAACTTATTTTCTTTCACTTCCTAAACTATTTTTTCCTCAAAAAATTATATCTTATTTTCTCGTTCAATTTTCTCTGTAATTTTTATTTATCTATGTATTTATTTATTTTCTCTAAAAGATATATATTGAATTTTGTTTTTATGTCTAATTTTTTTCCCGTGTAATTTTTCTCTTTCTTTCTAATTTCTTTTTTTTTCTTTAATAAATCTTTTCGTCTCGACTTTACTTTCATTTTCTCTAAAATTTTTCTTTTTTGTCTTTAACTTTTATTTCACTAATTTTTTTTCTAAATCTTTTTATATTCTCTCTAAAATTTATCTTCCAAAAGTTTATTTATATCTCTCTAATCTAAACTAGTATTTTCATATCTCCACATTATGGATAACAAAAATTTTCGTACGGTCGGATCTCAAAAGTAGGAAATGCATGTCCTGACCCCGTCCCTAATTCCACTTTTTAAATAATTAATAATATTTATTAAACTTTTTATTTTTTAAATTCTAAAAAAATAAAAACAATTATAAAACCGATAATTTTTCTCGAGAACATCTCTTGGACAGAAGAACGAGGTGGAGACGAGGATTAAAAATTTTCACAAGCACGAGAATGAGGGAGAGCATCCTCACTCGCACACACTCTATTGTCATTTCTACTTTATATAGAAATTTATTGTTTTCAATTTTCTAACGTTTTACAAATAGAAAACTAAAAATGATTACCACCAAACATGTTTGGTTTTCTATTTTTTAAAACAAAAAACAAAATATGGTTTTCAAATTTTGTTTTTTAAAAACAGAAAACCAAAAATCAAAAACTAAAATATACAGACCAAAAACTGAAAATAATAAATAGTTATCAAATGCACTCTAAAATGTTTAGGGTTAAAGCGTTAATTTTCTTTTCTTTTCTTTTATTTTATTTTTAGTTGAAAAGGGCTTAAGCACTGCATCAATAAATAGTAAATTTGTACAGATTTATTATTACTATTTTATTCTTATACAAATTGCCTAATCATATAAATATTAAGTTTTTCCCGGGGAAAAAAAATCCTAGGATGATTTTACCTATCAAGAATTGGAATGAAAATAAATAGTTTGACTTTGTTTATTAAGAATTTTCTGAAAACGAAATTAAACAAAAGAAAAAGAAAAACATTGATGTTGTTTACTAAAACTTTATAGAACCGAAATATAGGCACATATGACAATTACTATAGTACCATTTTTCTATTTCTAGCCAATTACACATATATGATTAATCAAACCAATAATAAAATTTATTTTTAATCATATATGTTTCTGCCAAAATCAACGAGGCAAGATCTAAGTGAGATGGTTGAACGAGCTGAGCATAGTGAATTGAATAGGAAGACCTGCCAGCAAAGAAAGAGCACTTTGACACTCTAGTCAGAAAGTCTGAATCTTTAGATGAGTTTGAGACAAAATTGCATACCTGAGTGGGTGGAGTGATGATGTATTTTTAGGGATTTGATGGAATCATCCCCTTACGAGAATTATAGCAAGGATCACATGGATATTCTTGGCGACCACTTATTCTGCTTAAGTCGCTTTCAAATATACACAAGAGCTGATTGGTTCTTAGCTTGGGCAAGACAAACTAATTAGAGTTTCCTTCCTTCGCATGAGGTTCTAAGTTATTGGTAGCGAGCTCCACAGGTCGATACCATGAGGTTGGTGGCAGACCTCTATGTTGTGGTTTTTCCTCCCGACAATATATATAGTATATATATATAAAATAATAATATATAAATAATCTAAATTGTTTTGTTTTAAATTCCAAACATGCTCATTTCTCTAAATCCATAATTTTGTCCACTCTTTATAATGATTAGTACAATATAAAAAATATATTAGAATAATTAATTATTGAAATATATTTTTTATAATTAATTAATTTATCTATTTTGGTTAGTTTGTGTTAAAGTTAATAATTATTTAAAATGTGTTAACTTTTTAATAAATCTATTGACCAAGTAAAGAAGGTCGAGTTGAATAGTAGATGATGATTAGTAAACAAATTTAGTGTTGTTTTTTTATACTAACAAATTTAGTAGGATAGCAATGAACGAATAACTAAATAAACTATTGATACTTTTTTGTTTGGAGGTCAAAATTTACATGTTGAATAAATTTATATTAAATAATTAGATATTTATTTTAAAGAATAATTATCAGAAAAAAGAAAATTTGGGCGATCAATTGAATTAAATTTTTTTATATATGGAAAATGTTCACTCCCCGAGAAAACAAAAAATTTAATATAATTTTAATTCTTTTAATCAAATAATTATTAACGATGTTTGACTTGACAAAACTATTTTAGGCACAATATAGACTCATAATTAATAAAAATAGACTAAACAAATTTGGGCAAGCCCACCAACAAAATAACCACGAGACCGTAGTGGAGAAATTTAACATAGCAGAGAACTGAATTTCACAACTTTGAATTATTTAAATAACTTAGTCGGACAGTTTGTGGAGGATGATATAAACTCCATGTTGAGGTTGGATCGATACACTTTACAAAGGGAACATGAGTATATGATGGAGAAAGTTTGAATAGAAGTGCGGTAGAATTATTGATAGTGTTATTTTTACTTTAATCATGGCAATGTTTAGTCCGAGACATATTCGAAGACCCCAATCAAATGGGATGAAAATGGTTCGATGTTTTGTGGCTCTAGAAACTCCCTCGGAAAATTTTTGTGGATTGAATTCAAAGACATCTTCACCCCATAGCTCACAAACATGATGGATGAAAATGGTTGGAACCTTAGCATCACTCCGATTGGTAAAGTCAATTTTCCAAGCTTTATTTTCTTTTCAACGACACGATCAATGAATCTTTTGTCAAACTTTTCATGGGATTGAAAAACGTCACGAAATGACAAAAATCCGAATCTCTATTTCTACCTCCAAAAATATGTTTTTTTGACCTTTTGTGACGTTTATTTTTTAATTTTAATAGTCTTTTACTGTTCCTAGGTGTCACAAAAATCTAGAATTCTAGTAGCGTTGGAGGAACGACGACGAGGCGAATAATGGGCGATGGAGGCGAGGAGGTGGCCCAACCGCAAAGTTCACGGGAAAAGAGAGGAGGAGAAAAAAAGGGGATGGGAGATGAAAAGTCTCACTAAAATATTGTTAAATTTCTTTGCAAGAGAAAACATTATTAAATAAATAAAAATTTCTAATCAGCTATACATGGAGTCATTTAACAACCACATCGGAATCCGAAAGAGTTAGTCAACTAATGATCAACTATCTTAGGAACCATTTATAGCTATTTTGTAAACCTCAATAACCAAAAGTATATTTTCTCTTAAAAAAAATTACATCAACAAGAAAACATTACTATAATTTTCATTACAACAACTTCTTTTGAGGTGGTTGTTAATACCCTAAGCTCTTGTCATTGTGCCAAGACATTAGTATACAACTTAACTGTTTTTAAAATACAAACGTTTTACTTTTTAATTTGGTTTAAAAAATAAACGAAAAAAATCATTTAAAAAGAAGAAAAAACTTTTATGTAAAATAATTATTTAGTAAAAATACTATTTTAAAAAAATAATAATACTTTTATGTAAAATAATTATTTAGTAAAAATACTATTTTAAAAAAATAATAATAAATAAAGTAAAAAACATTTTGTGGCAATCATGAAGGCTTGAACTTAAATCATGGGTGCCAATACCAAAGTTCTTGCCACTATGCCACACCAAAGGATGAAAACTATGTTTCATTTTCAAAATACAAATATTTTATTTTTGAACTTTGTTTTAAAAGAAAAACCATAAACGAAAATTAAAAAACTCGTTTTTTTTTTTTAAAAAAAAAGAAAATCTCCTATTTAAAGCTAAACTAATTTCCAAAAATTAAATAATAAATCTTTCAAAAACAAACTTTACTGAGATGATTTGAGATTCATTTTATCTTAAAACAAAATTTACTTAAAAAGAATCAATTTTGTTTATTTGAAACAAAGTCCTATTTTATTTTAAAACCTTCCCTTTTCTAAATACATTCTTTAGAAAAAAGATTTTTCCTTTTTTAAAGTTTACTAATTTAAAAACATTTATTTTAAAAATCAAAACAAGATCTTTTACCATTATCCAAAAAAAAAAACAAATTTAAAGAAAAATAAAAAATAAAACTTTAAAATAAGCTCTTATTTTAAAATTCTCATTTTCACCTCTGAAATTCAAAACAAAATTTATTTCCAAAATCTTGTACTCTTTTTTAAAAAAATTATTTAGAAAAATTTTAATTTTGAAACAAATTCCTTTATTTAAAAAAAGATCTTTTTATTTTATTTGAATTTAAAACAAAATTTTAAAACTTAAAACAAATAATCTCACCTTGATTTACCCAAAAAAAAAAAATTTTTTAAAAAGAAATTTCATTTATCAAAATTTTTTATTTTTTCAAAAACATATTTTAAAAGATTTTGTTTTATTTTGAAAAGATTTTGTTTATTTAAAATAAATCTTTTTAATTAAAAAAACAATTTTGTTTTTTAAAAAAAGAACTATCATGCGTAATACTTTAAACATTTTTTTTTTATGAAAATATCGTGTACAAGTTAGCGTCGATATGAAAATCTTGCTTGGTTGGAATTTTGCTAGCTGGCGTCAGGATGGGCTGCTGGAATTTATTGGAGTGAGAGAAAGAGGGAGTGGTGAGGTAGAAGATGAAGACGAAGGTGACCCTTTTTAAGAGGGATGATTAAAACTGAGTTTTCTAGAGGGCAAGTACCTTTTCCTTCTCTATGTGATCTGTGTATCCATGCGTGCCTTTCTCGTGTTTCTCTCAGACTTTTTTAAATACATACAAGAGGCCACGTGCGTGGTTTTGTCGGGAAAAAATCAAGGAAGAAAAAAAACTGTTATTAAAAACAATCATTTAAATAAGAAACCTAATTTATAAAATAAAAGTAAACAAAATCAAATCAAACCCTTTTGTTAGTACAACCAAATCAAATCATTTTTAAAACAAATTTATTTATTTCTTTGTTAAATTTAAATTAATTAAAAATTATAATAAAGTAAATTTATATTATTTTTTAATTAAAATAAAAATTAATAAAATAAAATACAATAATAAAAATTAAAATTAAAAATAAACCGGAACAAATACGTATCTAAAATTTATAAAATATTGTTGCTTTTTTATTATAATATTGAATAATAATAATTCCATTTTAAGATACAGACTTAAGTTTAACAAGTTTTACAAAGTAAGATCCAAACACGCGTTTAACAAATACAGATACAGACTCAACAAACTTATTTTAGGCACAATACAGACTCAAACTTGATAAACATAGATAAACATAGACTTAACAAACCCAAGCAAGCCTGCAAATGAAATAGCCCCGTGACGATATGGAATTGAAATTACGCACAGCAGAGAACTTAATTTCACAACACTTTTGGTTGTTTAAATAACTTAGTCGAGTTTGTGGAGGATGATATGAGCTCCATGCTGAGGTTGAGTTGACACACTTGAGAATGGAGCATGAATATATGATGGAGAAAGCTGAAATGAGAAACGTCGTAGAATTATTGATAATGTCGTTTTTGCCTCAATCATGGCGAAGTTTAGTCCGATGCATATTCGAGGACCCCCACCAAATGGGATGAAAATGGTTTGATTTTTTGTTGCTTTAGAAACTCCCTCTGAAAATCTTTCTGGTTTGAATTCATGGGCATCTTCACCCCATAACTCAGGATCCTGTTGGATAAAAACAATTGGTAACCTCACCATCACTCCAGCCGGTAGAGTTATTTGTCCGAGTCTTGTTTCCTTTTGGACAACACGTTCGAGCATACTTACCGGTGGGTATAACCTGAGAACCTCGTTTAAAATCATAGTTACCTGAGCCATTACAAGTCACATGCTAAACATATCTAGTCCCTCCCACTTAAAGTTTATTTGTATGAGAGAAGAATAGAGCACACTTACAATTTTTAGGCGACTTAAACCATCAAAATCTGGCTCTCTGTTACCAAAGACTTGTAAAACTTCTGCTCTTGCTCGTTCTTGCCAATCCGAGTATGAACTCAATAAAATCATAGTCCAAACTAGCAATGTAGCTGTAGTTTCTTGGCCAGCAAGATAGAAAAGCTTGCATTCTTCAATAACATCTTCTATACTCATCCCAGCATCTTTGTTGTTTCCATGTTTTTGTCGAATTTCGTTGAGATTAGATTCTATGAGAATACCTAATAGATCATTGCATGCAGCTTCACCTGCCTCCATATCCTTTTTCCTTTCATTTATAATACTCGAGATCAAAATTTTCATTTCTTTATTGATCTTTACCATTTTATCGTTTGACTTAGTGGGAAAAAACCTGCATATAATTAGTGGTGACATCAAATGATTTTGGGATAATAAGAAACTTTTTCACTTTGTACTTATTTTCTTAATGGATTATGTTTAGAACAAATTTATATACCAACAAGATATTATGAAATTTTAAAATATTAACTCTCAATTTACTATTTATCGATGTAGTGCTTTCGTATAAGCCTAAAACCTTCCAATTTTAAACTTAAAAAAACAGAAAAAGAAAACACTTTACCACAAATTTTCAGTTAGAGATGTTTAATATATATATTTTGAAGGAATAAATGTTTAATTTTACCTCAATATAGGATTGGTAATCATCATAGATTTAACCACCAAAGCACTCAGTTGTTTCTGAAGTTCGAAGATCATTTTTCCTTTCTCGTAGCTACTCCCAAATGCTGTTCGAGAAATCATATCAGCAGCCACAGTTTGTAGATAAGGCATTACATTCAATTCGCATTGTCCCTCTTTAGAGACCATTTTCTCCCATTTGTTAACCATCTTGTTGCAACATTGAGAGAATGCTGGTACCATGTCCTATAAGCCAATAATTGAAGGATACATGTGAGTAATCAGAGAGACTGTTGATACTATATTCTATATATGATCTAACGGACTCAAATGTTTTTCTCTCCATTTTTTGCTACAATCCATCTCAAGCTCAATGAAACACTATTCATTATTAGGCTTCTTATTCACAATTTCCTTAGTACTTATTTTTTTCACCTTTCTTAAAAATACATTCCAATTCTTAGCCAAATTAGAAAACAAAAACTTATTCTTTTAGTTTTCGAAAAGTAAATACAAAATAAACAAATACAGGGGCGTTTGAGGCTTAAAAATAGTGTTAACTGTTAGGAACCTGACAATTAAGGGTCGTTAATATAAGTGGGCTACTTCTCTCATCGTCAATTGGTTTTGAGAAAAAAGTCGTTAATATTAATATGATATCAGAGTCCAAAACACCCAAACGAAGGATCCTATATTGATAAGATAAGGGACCTACAAGAATCAAAATAATAATCAAACGATATCTAAATTATATTTCGTTGGCAGGTGGGTCGAGAAAGGTGTACCTTCAACTTTTCCAGATGGAATGCAGGATTGATTATTTTTCTGTGTTTAACCCATTTTGGTCCTTCATGGTTTACAAGTCCATCAGCAAGTAACTTAACAAGAGGTTTTATTTTTGGCTTTCGGATATCATCTGATAGTAGAGCTGTTTTAACTTGCTCTGGCTCCACGATCAGCACACTTGGAATCAGGCCATCCCACATAAATGAATTTTTACCTGTATTTCCCAACCATTTGCATATTTGAGAACAAAGTTTTCTCTTTTTGACTCCAATACTGTAGTCGAGATCAAACCATCAACTTCGAACTAAAATAGGTAAATGTGATGAACCAATGCATAAAATAGAGTATGTTTTTTTTTTATTTATATTTTTGTTTTTTGAAATGAGTAAATCTAAATAGGTAAGTTCTCACAAATTTTTTTATATGGTTTTAGTCTTTCAAAACAACATATTTGAACATAAATAATTTCAAAAGCAAAAAGAAGTAATTTTTGGAACTTTTTTTAAAGTTTTTAAAATATTTTTAATAAGTAAATATTAAATAAAACAGACACATGACATAGCAGGAATTAGTAGTACTGTTACTCAATTTAGTTATTAAAAATAAAAACATAAAACAAGATTACTTAACAAAAGAGAGGCTTGTACTAAAAAAAAAAACAAAGAAAGGCTAAAGTTACAGAGAGTTATCAATGTTTCAAATTGTATTTTTTTGGTTCTAACCGACGAAAAGATACACTTCCTGGAAGAAAGTTTTTTAAGATTTAGATAATAAATTGACGAAGGTAACCTAAACATAGAACAACTATTATATCATAAAAATATTTGAATCTCCAACCTAGTTCGACTTAAAAAAAATACACACACAACACACAAAACAAAACAACGGTGATTAAGAAAAGTTGAAGATAGAATCCATAATTTTATCATATATTTTTCTTTTTTCTTTTTTCTTCACAAACCAAAAAAAAATTCTGAGAGATAATAAATCACCAATCAACTCAACAGTGGATTAAGGTAAATTTAATCATATATAACGAACATCTAACGTAGGCAAATATAAAATATATGATGATCCATGTGTTTGTTCTACCGTAAATTTGGATGGTTTGATGAACGAAAGGGAGAACACGTGGAAAAATACGATGGGAGAAGTTCATAGGCTTGGACATGGCCTGAGCCATCCTCGCCGATATGTCCTTCCGGTCTCCAACGAGCAACCGGTAAGAATTTCCGGCGAGACCTTGATCTCTCAAGTACTTCTCTAATTTCTTTGGCCTCACCCAGATCGAGTTGACAACTCTCCATCCCCATACCAGTAACCACACCCCAATTATTGTACAAATTGAAAACGTAGCTGCAACCCACGTTTCCATGAGGAGAGAAAGAGTGAAGAAAGATTAGTGGTGAAGTAGAAGCTGAAATTATGTGTTCTATTTATAACCAAAGGAAATTGTTGTCTCCTAGTGTTTTTCATTCACGTGTTGAATTTGATGGTATGCTTTCATAACTGTGCCTTGTGTTGTTTCCATCAACGTATATAAAATATCAAGTCGCAATAATACTCTCGTCGGCCATTGGATTTATTGTCACTAGGTAAAAAGAGAATAGGGTAAAAGATCCGAACCAAATCGAAGAATTATACCGAACCGACGGCTATATTAGATGTCATTCGGTTCAGGTCCAACAAACTAATTGTTTCAAAAATCCTTACGCTAATTCATCCTTCTTCTTTCTTTGCATGCAGCTGACGGTTCACGACGTTAGCAAAAGAGATCCATTTCTTATTTTGATTTTTTTCCGTCTCTTCTTTTGATTTTTTGATGGATCTCTTTATTCTTTATTTTGATGGTGAGTTTTGATGTATTTTGAACAAGGTGATTTTTTTATTTTGAAACTTATTTTGATCGATAGAGGTGGGTTTTGCGATTTTGAAGGTTTTGAAGGTGGATTTTGGTAACACATCCAACATTTGCTTTCCTTACCCTGTTTGGCTTCTCAGAAATAAGAAAAAGAGAAAAAAAAACACATTATTTTTTTATTTACCAATTGAAGTTCTTTTCTTTTTTTTTTTTAGATCTGGCTTCTAAGGTTGAAGGAGGGTTGAAGAGGAAGACCGTCCTAGATTCCAAAATCCAATGACGACCTGAATGGACTCAAATGAAAAACCGAACATTTTCAAGTCGGGTCGATTTTTAACATATATTTACACCCCTAGTCAGAATTGAAATTTTCTGAATCAAACAGAAAAATGAGTGAGAATAGAAGGGAAGGAAACTTTAAATTTTAATTTTTCCTTTTTTAAAATTTTGATACGCCTTCAACTTTAAATTTGATGTTTTCCTTTCTATTAAATCCCATTTTAATGTTGGTTTTTTTTTTCTTTGAAGAACCGATGGCTCGTGCTCGTCTGCCACCAAAGCAAATTGAGTGACCAATTAGTAAAATAAATTATTTGAAATAAAAAAAAAATCCCTCAGCAATCAACGTCGTACTAATAACTTCACATGATTCATGTGGTCAATCTTGGATTTTCTTTCCTTTTACATTTTGTCCTCTTCACTCACTTATATATTATTTACTTTTCTTATTTGTCTTTTTTTTTTTTATTACAAAACAGGTGAGATATAAGATTGAACTTATGGTGGTAGATATATGCTAATTACAGCTGAACTATATATGCTCGTTGTGGCTTCCTTATTTGTTCCTGACAGTTCAGTATTTTTATTTTTGTTTTCCATCATCTTATCTCCTCCATGCAGCTCTTTATCATCACTCGTTCTATTCTATTCTATTCTTTTCTTTTCTTTTCTTTTCGGTCTTGTTTACTCACTAGCAATTGGAATGAAAATGACTTGGAATGAAAACCAATTGAAATGAGAATATTATATTGTTTACCATAAATTTTTGGAATCGAAATCAGAATTAGATATATAATAATTACTAGTATACTAATTTTCTTCTTTCTAACTAATTACAAATATACTAGTAAGAAACACGTGGTTGAAATTTTATAGTTTTGTTTTAAAAGTTTAAAATCTAAAAATTTATTAAATACTTAAAATTTTAATATAATTTGGCTCTTTTATCTCTCAATGTTTTCCTCATCAATTTTATATATATATATATATATATATATATATATATATATATATATATATTTTCATGTTTATGTCATAAAATCGACGTCTCAATAATTTTGATCATCCACCGATCCGGTTGATGTGACTAAAAATTTTGAGAAGTGTTGATTACTTGAAAAATTTTCATGAGTAAAATACAATAAACAATAATAAATAGCTTAACATATATTCATCGATTACTTATAATTTTTTTCGTAAAAAAACACATTCATGAATTTTTCATTATTTTTTTCCTAAATACAACAATGCATAAAAGGAAATAAAAATTTGTTTTGATTTCTTATTTGAGTCATTCAAAAAGAAAATAAAAAAAAAAACTGCAAATTTGTCATCTCTTAAACTTTTTGAATAAATTTCTTTGAAATAACAATCATTAAAATTGCATTGGAAAAAAATAAAAGTTGAATGTCAGATAAAAAAAAATCTAACTAAAATATAAGCAAGCATAAAATATTGACTAAATGAGAAAACCATACCGAATGAGAAAAGAAGAAAAGAAGGCTCAAGTTTTGATAAGGAAAAAATTGGGAGAAAGAGTAAAAAAAAAACTCTTTCTATAATGATAGAAAATAAAAAGATACAAAACTTTTGAAATTCTATATTAATTATAATTAAAAATAAATTTTAATTTTTTTATTGATCCATAGAAATGAGGAGACAAAACTATACCTATTCTAACTTTTTATATTCTAATCTTCCCGACATAGAGAGTTCGAGAGAGAGAGAATTAATTAGAGAAAAGTGAAATTTGTACCTATGAAAATAAAATATTTTGAAAGAAATAAAAAAAAAAGAAGAGAAAGAAAGGGGGAATGGCATGGAAGGGAGAGAGAAAGAGAAAGAAGGAATGAGAGAGAAATTTTTGGATAAAATTGTCCCAAAAAACTTAGAAAATGTTTAAACTAAACAGGCAAAATAGAGAAAAAAAAGTCCTTCAGACTGTTTTATACGTAGAATAGATTATTGTAGAAATCTTTTTTGAATTAAAATAGTAATAAATTTTAATTTATTTTGTTACTATAATATTGATAGCAAATATTTCTTTTACTATAACAATTTATCTAATATTAATAAATAATTAATAATTAAAATAAAATTTCAACGACTAAAATACTTTTTATTACAACCACCACCTATATAAAATAATTCACTAAAAAAAGTTCGGATGGAACACCAGCACAAATCGTTCCAAAAAAGATAGCTTCGTGCCCAAACCAGTCGAACGATGACAGAACACATGTGGATCAAGACTTGGGCTTGCCACTCACCATGTTTATAAGCTCACTACATGGTTTTGGCTTATAAATCAATTTTTCAAATGATAATTTTTCCATGTGGGACAAAATGAATTAGTTTACCTTTGTCATTCCCAACAATCCCCCACGAATGACAAAGAGTAAAACAGAAGAAGAAAGATAAGAACAAATTTTTCTGAGCAAAGGATAGACAACTTAAACATTAATATCTTTTGATTTGAATTAATGTATTAGTGAAGTAGGGCAACAACCTAAGTAAATATAGAGTAAATGGTAAAAACTCTCAAATAGAGTAAATATACAAATTTGAACTTACAAAAATTTCAATCTTCACACCAATAAATTTCTCTCACAAATAAGATGGAAAGAAAAATTGAGAACTTAAAGATATTAGCAAATGAGAATTTTGAAGTTATAAAGGATTGAGAATAAGAGAATTGTTGTATAATTTTGAAGAAGAAGTTGAGTTTAAATAGAGGGAAGAAAATGGTAAAAAAATTAAGTTTAATTTTGAACTATTAGATTTTAATTATTAAAAAACGAAGGGTTGAGATAAATTTCAAAAAAAAAATATTTAAGAATTATATATATAATAATAATAATAAAATAATATATATATATATATATATATAATGATGTGATAAAATATATATATATAAATATATATAATGACGTGACAAATTTTGAAATATATATATATATAATAATAATAAAATAATATATATACGTTTGCAAAAATTTTCTACTTTTTTTTTACACTGACAGCATTAAATGCTCAAAATAAGTTTGTCATTTATCACGCCTACGAACTGTCCACGTCATCTTCTCGGGTATTTTTCTTTTTGTTTCGATCATGATCTAACAGTTGTTGGAATCGTTGTAATGAACTCTACGCTCTAGATACTTTAAAATACAAAAAATGTCAATAAATAAAATTAAGTTTGTTATCATTAAAATATTAATTAATTAATTGATAGATAAAATAAATTAGTTTACCTTTGTGATTTACAACGTTAATCTCTCTCCACTATTCCATTTTTTTAGACATGGAGTGATGGGTACGAGAAAGAGGGAGGAAACCTATTTTTAGAGAGAGAAAGGGGGTGGGAGGAAGAAAGAGAAAAAGTAATTTTTATAGTTGAGAAAATCGAGGAAGATGAAAAGACAATAATAATAAAAATAATTCTCCTCTCTCCTCTCTCCTTCCTTTCGCTCACTCTCTCTCTCACTCTCCTCTCACTCACTCTCTTCTTCCCTCCCTCTCCTCTTACTCTCGCTCTCTCTCCTCTTCCCTCTCTCCCCTCTCCTCTTCTCTCCTCTCTTCTACTATTCCCTTCTATTATTTAAAAAAAAAAGAAAAATAGATATAAGAAGAGAGAAAAAGAGAAGAAAAAAAAGGAGAGAAAGAATGAGATAAAAGAAAAAAATGGAGGGAGGGAAAAAATTCTAGAAAAAGAGAGAGGGAACATAAGAGATAAATCTTAAGTGGAGGATAATGAAAGTAAATTGATATTTAAAGTGATGTCGGCAAAGTTTAGAAAACTTAAGTTTTAAAAAAAGTGGGTAAAAACAAATCATCCCCTTCGAAAAAGAACTATACAGCCCAAAAATCCGAGAGCGATACCACCTTTTCTAAAACGCGCTACCTCTTCATTTTATCATTTTTCTTCTAATCTCTTCTTTTCATCTCTCCACACCCCCTACCAAGTTCTGAAAAGCATAAGCCCTAAAATCCAAAATTGATAACCCCTAACGTAACGATTAAATAAAAAGTCATGCAATAATAGATGATAAATTTTGTAAAATAATTCTTGCAATTTTTTGGGGCCCACCAACGTGGAAATGAGATTTCCCCCTTCTATAGAGATGCGTGAATGACACCAACTAATCTTTATTTAATTAATTATTTTTTTATTTATTATTAGAAATAAAAGAAACATAATTTGCTTATTTTTTAAAAAGAAACATAATTTGGATAGCAATTAAAAACGTGC